AGAAAAAAAAAAAAAGAAAGCAGAGCTATTGCTCATTTTAAGGCCACCAACATATTCAGGCATGCAGCCAAGCATCAGCAATACCATCCATCTAGGAGATCTAGGAGATACCACCCTGATCCAAAAGGCAGATGTTCAGTTCTGCTTGGACGTTCTTGAGGGAAAGGACAACCAGCCATGGTGGTTCTTCCATCTGGCACAGCCCTGTTTATCTGCTGGCACTCCTGCCCTGGCAGTGATGCTCTGCTCGGGTGAGGACAGCTCTTCAGAGATGCCCAACTCATTTCCTGCCCTCTGCCATTGTTTGGTCTGATCCTTTGTTTGTTTGCTTTTTCTGAATGCTCCCAATTAGAACTTGTTGGGAAATTGCAAATGCCACTTTTTCTGCTGGAAAATGTTGATTCATCAAGATCAGCACACCCCGCAGGACCGGACTGGTTTTAGCAAGGCAGGATTTGACAGAATGAAGGGACATAGAAGGTTTAGGTGCTGCTCTTCACCCTCTGCATCCAGTTGCCTGAAACCCAAGACCATCACCAGGCTCTGGGCTACCCAAGGGAAGCTTTTGCTTCTGCTGAAGGATTTCAGAAGGTGACAGCCAGGTCAGGGAGGGACAGATGACCCCATGTCCAAGCTATCTGAGCTCTCTGCAGAGCACATGAAGGTGCTGTTGCTTCCTTCCTCCCCAAAGCAAGAGCTGTCCTGGGCATAAGTGGCCTATGGTGAGCTACACTGCTCTCCAGAAGGTGCAGGAGAAAGTAATGCATCAATTTCAAAACTGTAGAAAGCCTAAGAAAAAAAAGTTATACACTTTTGCTTTCCAGAACTGAAAATAACATAAAGGGCCAGCTCGTCACATTTTAAAAGCTTCAGTAAGGTGAAGGCCAAAGGAGAACAAAGGTACTTTTTTCCCCTTTTTCTAGAACTCCAGGGAAGAAACCCTGAAGGCAGCCCAATGCATTTTCCACAATGGAACACATGGCTCCCTGGCTCGCAAACGTGCTGCTGTTGACTTGCTGACCCTGTGTTGTGGTAGGACAGGCAGCTTTAGCACCCTATCCCAAACAAACCCAAGAGTGGGTGTCCTAAAGATGTCCTTCCCAACACCTTTAATGGTGTCCAGGATATAATTGCTTTATAAAGCCTCCCTCAAATCCTTCTACCCTCATCCAGCCATTCCCTGTTCTCAGATGTGCTTGGGACATGTCAGATCTTATGAATTGCAGGAGAAATGATTCAAGGATAGGGAATGCCTCATCCATTGACCTCCCTCCCTGCTTCTCCTCTTGCCAGGCTTTGCATTGTGATCTTTGGGAAGCAAATGCATCCAGTCCCTTTATTCTGACTCAGCAGTTGCTCTGAAGTGATTTTTGCGGTAGCGGTGGGGCATCATGCCTGACTAAAATATCTTGGCTCTGCTACTCTTGCAGCAAACTTCCAAAGGTCTCATGCTCGTGGTGGAGGGCAATTTGAAGAGAATGCAAATAAAGGCTTTGGTTCATTCATGCTTCTTGAATAGAGAATAGAAAGCTGAGCCGCAGAGGGGATTGCAAGGCAAATTCTTTGGGCTGCTGAGTTGTTAATGCTGCCTAGAAAAGAAAGGACCGAAGTGTCCCCTGTCTGCCACGTGCACGAACCCTCATCCAAAAGGGCAGCACAGCGGTTTTGAGGAAAAGGGGGTGATATGCACAGAAATGGGAATGAGGGGAGCCTCTGCAGGGCACTGGCCATTGGGGTCTCTGGTGGTTGGGGATCAGATCATGTCCTCCAGGTTGCTGGATGGGCTCTGCTGCTCCAGCTTGTCTGGAGAGGAAGAGAAGGTGCCACTAATCTGACTAATCCGACTGTATTATTTCCTTTCCAGGAAACCACAGATAGAGAGCTCTCTGTTACTCTGGGAATTTAAGAGATCCACTGTAAGAAATAGTCAGACTATATTTTGGGATTTATTTATTTTTAACCATCTTATCAGCATTTTAGGAAATTTTAAACCTGCTTACAGCCTCTCTCCTTATCTGAGTGATTCCTAATAACAGATTTGTAGCAATGACTTGAGTTGGAAAGCATGCACTGAGCAGATTCAGTGTTAAGACCTCAAATTCACTCTGGTTTAGACCAATTTCACCAAAGACACCCATCCTGGACAAAAAATAGGCTTTCTTCCATCTCCTTTCACTCTGGGCAGGAAGAAAACTTTAGGTCAGGCTATAAATTGATCTGGAAAGTCACTGCCAGTTCATTGTAGCTGGCTGAATTATTCCTGCATGCTGTGGGGAGGAAGGAGGCTGTTTTTTTCCAAGCCCAATGCCAGGCTGGCTCTCACATGCCCCCCAGTCCTGTTGGGCAGAGCAGGCAGGAGCAGATCCAGGACAATAGCGGGAAGCAAAGCAAGCCCATAGGAGCACACAAGGAAATGATCTGAGCCTCAATCATTTCCCTCCATCCCTTAATCCTTTCCCTCCATTCTCAGTCATCTTCAGGACTGTCAAGAAAAGGTGGACAAACCTGTTGAATTCCTCCAACCTCCTTTCTGTTGCTGAAAAGAGACAGCCAAAATACCACTTTTTTTTTTGTTTGTTTGTTTTTTATTTTTTTTTTTTTGTTTCATGTCTGGTACATTCCAAGAGTGCCAGGATCTCCAGAATTCATGTCATTGCTCACAGTAAAATTTCCCACAAATGTTTTCAGATTTTGGAAGAAAATGGATAACAGAAATAAATTTGGTTTTTGATTTCCAGGTTGTTGTCGTTTGTTGTCGTTGGGCTTTGTAATGCTGGATTTTGGCAGTGAGGATGTTTTACATAACTGCCAGCTTCTGAAATGTAACTTTTTGTCAGAAAATAATGCAGCTTCCTCTTTCTTAATCAGAAAACGGAAAATCAAGTATAAATGACACCACCCACCCTATACTGACGATAAAGCATTCTGTGGAAGTTTCAATGGAAAAAATTCTACCCTTTTTTCCCCTTATCAGAAACCTCCTCCACTTTGGAGACTGAGACCCAGCAGGGTCCTGTCTCTGCAGATTTGCCTGTCATGGGTCTTGCACACCCAAGTTTCAAGCTTTTCTTATGTGTTTTGGGAGATTTTTTGAAACTTATCCTAAATAAATGCTGTCTTGGCCCTTGGGCTTCTACTGATTTCAGTGGCAAAATAAAAAAAATCACCAAGTGAAAAAGACCTAGTCAAAGCACATCCAGCTTGCACAGCACAGCCTGCTCCTCTCCTGTTTTTGGTGTTATTTTTTTTCAGTACATCTGCAGCCTAAACCTGGTCACTTTTTTTCCAAAAGCTGCCACCTTGTATCAAAATAATGAATTTCAACTCCAAATTAGGGAAAAAACCCTGCCGCCATGAAATCCTGATGAAATTGGAGAGGTTATTTTTCAGTTCTAGTCC